TATTTATTTATTTGAGAGAGAGAATGAGAGACAGAGAGCATGAGAGGGAGGAGGGTCAGAGGGAGAAGCAGACTCCCTGCCGAGCAGGGAGCCCGTATAACATGTTTTTTAGTACATGCCCTAATACATGCCCATTTGTTTTACTCATAAGTATGTGCTCATACCCGTGAACAGCTATTAGGAGCATTATAAAGCATATATGAAAACAGAAATTTCAAACTGAGCTGAAGGTACAGTGAATACTTTAAAATGTGTTGCTAAGCATGATGATGTCATGCACCCATCAGCAAATATCTCAAAGCTTGAGGAGGAAGCTCATCATTAATAAGCAACCATTTTTTGAATATTTCTCACGAGAGTTTTGATTGTTTTTGGGTGACTTTGCTTTGATCTGAATAGACAGTCTTTGTTTTTCACCTTGCGACAAGCTAGCTGTTGCAGAGAGGGGGAGAGTCGACTCTATTGTGTTCTTGGGTTTGCTCTGTTAGTATTATCTTCAGGCTGCGGTTTTGTGGTGGGGGACGTTTTTAAGCCACATGCCTGCTCGGTGATGGTTAGCCTACTCACAGATAGGTAATTTATCTGCACAGCCCCTTTCGGGGTGCACAGAGCTGCAGAATAGGCAGTGCACCCCAATGATGGTGCTGTTACCAGTTGCCCTCCTGGGCCTGAGGTTCCTGAGTCTCACTGTCTGACGTGGACATTTCAAGGGAGGGCTCCAGCATCCATACACAACATTACATTGACTTCTTCCTTGAACCACGAAAAACCACACACAGAAGTTCTCAGATTTCCTTTCCTGATGCCAAATCATTTTATGTGGTCCCTGGAGGAAGCGGACCATACCTTGCAGACTGCTTTTCCAGGATATGGAGGCCTCTTAGGAACCTGTCATTTCCACTGCACACTCTACGAGGGGCTGCCTTGGGGGAAAAGCAGCCTTGGCTTCTGGGCTGGATTTTCAAGAATTTCAGGACTCAGGAGAAGCCCAGGGGATCTGTAGAAAGCAGTGCTGACCAAGTTTGTGGTAGCTTGTCCCAATAAATTACTTTGCTAACCTCTTGAAAGCCTGAATACTTTGGAATTTTTTTTGGCGGGGTGGGGGTGGTGGGGAACTCCTTAGAGAATCTGGGGAAAGCTATGGCTTCTTGTTCTATGGGCACAAAATTTCCATTCAATTCCAAAGGGGTTCAGAGATCTCTTGAAGCTCATGATGAAGAACCTGTTTAGAAGGGGAAAAGGCAAATTAGAGTTAGAGGACATGTGCCCTTTGCCTCAAACGTTCCTTTCCCGTAGCCCTTTTGAGTTTCAGAACCTGCTTACAGCACAGAGCAGGGAAGGAGGCTGAGCTCTGATGTTAGGGACACTCAGGTTTGTATCTTGGTCCCTGCACTGATGAGCTGGGTTAACTTGAGTAGCTTTTTGCTCCATAAAATGGGTAGGTTAATCCTCACCTTGAATGCTCCCTCCCTTATTGGCCATCTTCCAGCTTCATTGGCCTTCTTTCTTGTACCTCAAATATTTGATCTCTTTCCTGCCTCAGGGCCTTTGCACTCGCTGTTCCCTCTGCCAGGAAGGTTCTTTCCATCATCTTTATGTGACCACCTCCTCACCATTCAGGGCTCAACTCAAATGTCTCCTCCTCAGGAAAGGTTTTCCAGACCACCTTATCTCTCTTTCTCTGTTTGTTTAGAATTTTTAGAAAGTGTACAATTCAGTGATTTTTGGCATAGTCACAGAGTTGAACAACCATCACCATTCTGATCCCAGAACCTTTTGATTATCGAAAGTCTGTATACATTAATGCAACAGCCAGTCCCCAGTCCTCCCTCTCTCCAGCCCCTGGCCATCACCACTCATCTACTTTCTATCTCTATGGATTTGCCTCTTCTGAACATTTCATATAAATAGAATCATCCGTTCTGTGGCTTTTTGGGTCTGGCTTTTTTGCAGAGGATCAGGTTTCTAGGTTCCATTCACGTTGTACCAGGCGTCAATACCTTATTGCTTTTCATGGCTGAGTCATACTCCAGCTCGTATCACATATTTTGGTTATCCATTCATTCGTTTATTTGGGTTGTTTTCCACTTTGGGGCTGTTTGGAATAACGCTGGTATGCACCGGTGTCTCTTGATCCTGTTACACTTTTGTGTATTTAAGTTTCACAGCTCTCAGTGACTTATTTAACGTGCATACTTCTTATCCTGTCCCCTAGAATATAGGCTGCAGGCAGGCAGTGGTCTTGTTCATCTTGCATATTGCTGTATTCCCAGAGCCTTAAATAGTGCCTGGCACAGAGTAGGCAGTAGATGTTTGTTCAGTGAATGAATGAATGAATGGGAGCAGTTGCTATTCTCTTGTCTCTTGGAGGACTCAATCTTTTCCTCTAATTCACGTAGGACTCTTGCTGTGTTCCCTGTATCTCACATCTGACACTTCTCGCCGCCTGTAGTTCTCCATTATCTCATTGCCCCGTGAGTGACCACTCCCCCAAGCTCGGGGCCTCTGTTACCCTAACAGTCTCAGACTTGAATGTGCAGCAGAAAACGCAGGTGGCCTGGGCCCTGGAGTTTCTGAGTCAGTGGGTCTGGGTGGTTCTGAAAATTTGCATTTTAACATGTACTTCGGGGGAGGGTTTTGCTCTTGGTTGGCAGACCACTATCTGAGAATCGGTGCTCTAGGGGGCTAAATTTCAGCAGGCGGACTGGGCCTGTTGAGTTCAGAAGTGGTATGTGTGGGCCTCACTCAAAGAGCTCACCTTGCATCTCTTTCTCCCTTGATGGGGATTCAGAGGGTTCTGGTTTGTTAAGAGCATCCTGATGGATCTGAGATCATGGCAGTATTGCTTGTGGGGGTACCCTGGAGAGGAGGCATGGATGAGGATGCTTACTGCAGGGTTGTGTACGGAGGTAGGAGGGTGGCGCTGACCATCTAGGTTCCCCTAACCAGGGAAATGGATAAGCAGGGCTGATACTCTGCCGCTTCACCGTGAAACCACGGCATGAAGGAGATTCACATTTCTCAATAGGGCTAGCTCTCAGGTTGTGCAAAGAGAAAGAAACAATGAGGTTTATGGCAAAAACACTGCTCGTGTCAAAGATACACAGCTGTGCAATGATATCTGCAACAGTCTATACCGTTCCAGGATAATCCTATCTAAATAAAGATACGATGGAGAGCAGGTAAAGAGGAGTAAATGTGTTGGTGAGGTCTGACCTTAGGAGTGATATCTGACAGCTATCTCTGTTCTGTTCTGTGTGCAAACATTGAGCTACTTGGCTAAGTTTACGTCTAATTGTGAAGGTCACTGTTCTGGTTGAATTGGGTGCCAGCCCTGCCCCCATCCCCTCCCCCCCATTAAAACAAGTCTTTTTTAAAGTCCTGATCTTGATTTAGACATAGGATCGTTGCAGATGTCGTGATTTAAGACAAGGTTATCCTGGAGCAGGGTGGGCCTCTAACCCGATATGACTGGTGTCCTTAAAAGACAGAGACTGTGGGAGACACACCAGGGGAAGACGGAGATTTCTAGCAACCGGCAGAAGCCAGGAAGAGTCAAGGCAGGAGGCCCCCTGTAGGTTTCCGAAGGGGTGTGGCCCTGCCAACATCTTGATTTTGGATTTCTGGCCTCCAGAACTGTGAGACCATAATTTGTGTGGTTCGAAGCCACCTGGTTTGTGGTACATTGTTATAGCAGTCCCGGGAAACTAATACAGTCCCTTAACACCTCTCACCTTGTTTTCTTATTTGTCGAATAATAGTAAAAAATATTAACCCTTGGGTGAGTGTCAGCGAGATTGAACATGATGATAAATGGGAAGGGCCCAAAACACAGTAGGTGACTCGGGTTGTATGCTTTCCCTTCATCCCAGCTACTGATTAAGAGGGGCACCAACAAGGGGCATGGCTGGATCACACCAAATCCCCCCTAGCTGCAGGAAACCCAATTCACGCAGGATACAGAGCTCTGCGTAGGCTCTGGCTCAGCCCTGTACAACTGGCTGTGTAATCTTCAGCAGGTTAATTCACCTCTCTGAGCCTTTGCTCATCTGCAAAGAAGGAGTAATAAACCTCAGAAGGTGTTTGTATGCTACTTAGTTGAATTAAGGCTTGTAACGTGATTAGCATGGGGGCCGGCTTATGGTAAGTACTCCATAAATGTTATTTATTGCTAATAGTGGGCCATTGCTGTACATGAAGCATGGGGTCTAGCGTTAGCTATGAAGGGGGACTAAGTTTATGGGGTGCACACATATTAGATTCTTCACTGAATCCTCTCAACAACTCTGCAAGGTGGGTGATACTGCTCTTACGTAGCTATTGTGAGGAGCGTGTGGACTGTTTTGCACGAAGTCCTTATGTAACCTCTAATTGCAGTGACCATTTTACTCCCTTACGTCCTTTTTTCCCCTCCCACCCCTAACTAGAATGGCAGCTCGTGGAGTCAGGGGCCTCGTCTTCATAAGCCCAGTGCTCCGAGCACAGCAGATGCCAGTCATTGTGTTTGGAATGAACAGATTTAAATTCTTTCTTCTTTCAGGGCCCTTGCAGATGTCATGAGCCCACAGGGCCACTGCAACACTGACCACATGGAGAGGGACCTCAACATTGTGGTTCATGTCCAGCATTATGAAAACATGGATACCAGAACCCCCATAAATAATCTTCGTAAGTATAGTCGTGCGGTCCATTCCCAGCCCCACTTGGTTATCCATGCAGTGATCATGTGTCTAGATTTCATGGTCTGTGTTTGGGTTCACTAAGAGCTTTTCTGTTTGTTGGCTAGTTAGAAGTTTGGTTTCATCTCTCCAGGATGAAGCTGTGTTTGGCTTCATCCAATTTCACTTGGTTTGTTTCTCGGTTAAAGAGTGATCCACTTGGTTGGTTTCCTACGGTTGGTTCTGTTAACGAATGGCCCTCTTGTTTGGTTCGTGATGGTTGGGTACCTCGTTAACCAATGGTTTACTTTGTTGGTTCATCTGAGATAGTTAATCTGTTAGCCAATAACCCATTTTATTGGTTCATCTTGATGGGGAAATCGGTGAACCAATGGCCCATTTGCTTATTTGCTTCTTGAGGTAGACCAGTTGTGATCTTTAGGTTTCATGCTGTTTTCCATGAACAGATAGTAGTTCAGAAGAATTTGATCTTCTTTTTCATCAAAATAAAGTTTGGCAAAAATAAATCACAAACTACCCTGTGTGTGTATGCATACACACATGCACATACGTGTTTGTGTGTGGGGTGTTCAGCTGTGGTTATGTTGGTTTGGGGTGTGTACATGTGACTCAGAGTAGCAAATTCCCTTCCATTTTTCTGCCAGGCGGAAAAAATGCTACATAGGTATTCTGGAGCTGACAGAGCATAGTTGGGGATCTCAGTATGCTCCCTCAATTTTTCTTTCCTTTCAAAGGTCTTTATATACAATATACGTTATGGAGCTGATGTACTGACTAATGGGAGGGGGAAAGCAAGATTGTTTGGTTTTTGACAATAGTGTGCTACTGTGTTTATTCCTAGCAATTATGTTTTCAAGTAACCCCCACATTAAAGTAATGTGGAGGGCTTGGTTTAAAATAACAAAAGCCAGACAATTTAAAAGATGCATTTAGTTGTGGCTGGAGGTTCTTAAAAACATCACACATTTTAGAGACTGGGTTGCCTTGGCTGAAACTCCACTAGCAGAGCCGCATTGGTGTTTTATTTGCTGAATCATCATTTTCAACTGTGGCCACAAATTTTTATGCTCCATGGGTAGAGGAATAAATCTGTGGCATTTGATATAGGTGATGCAAATTCTTTGATTCTGCGTGGTGATAATTTTTCATAGCCTTGGAAAAATGTTGCAGTATATTTGTAAAGTCAGTTTACACAGTTTGGAAATGGGTTACCAGATAGAATGTCTTAGGTGTCATTGTATTAAATAATTCGACATTATTTATTTATGAACCTGGTTGTAGAATGGCATGAGAAATAGCCACATTTTAGAGCCAAATACATCAGCAATTGAAGTTTTATGACCGAATCTCACAGCCCTGAAAGATATGGTAAATTGTACCAACTCTGACATGGCAGTTGCTGAGCCCAGTTTTGGCTTTGTTGGAAATAAGCACATTCTCTTTCAGATGTCACTGGGAAATAAGTTGAACCTAGGTGTATGTGGGTTCCAGCCCTGACACGTGAGCGAATACCATCATGGAGGAGACAAAGTTGAAATGGTGTTGAGTCCCTGGCTATACAAGGTGACTGTTAACAAGTTTCTCATGTGAAGTTTCAATCTTTAGGATGATTTTTGAATCAGCACTCAAATGGAATAACAAACTCATTGAAGTCACTCACGTTTCATCATTGCATCAGGCAAAAGGGCAAGGAACATTAATGAATCTTGTTTCAGTAAGGGACTTTTGTTTAAAGTTGTACTGAAAACAAGTTACTGCTCAGAGATGGGTGTCCAGGCACTGAGTAATTCAGAAGTCTCCCGTGACGGACTAACTGGGTCTATTTATGATTCTTGCTTTTAGTCTGTATCTGAGTCTCTCAGTAATCAGTGCTATTTATACTAATTAGAAGAAATGTGTCTTGTAATATTCTACTGGGTAGAAGTATACCACAGCATTCCTGGTGGACTACAGAAGAGAATTCCAGGTGTATGCCAACATTGCATTAACAAGATGTTAATTTTGTATATTGCCGCTGGGTTGATCCAGTCCTATTTCCTAGAATTCTTGGGAACATCTGGAAAATAAGAAGCATATAGCCCTTCCACAGATTTCCATTAATCAGTTCAATTTTTGTAACTAATTCAGTACTTGGTAGTAATGATAGGCTTTCTTGTAATGATTTTGTCTTTTTATTGATTCACAGGAGCTATTTATATATTATAGACACAGGGAAAATTTACATGTTCAGGTGAAGGAGTGATTTTTGGGAGTTCACTGAAAGGATAGGCCTCGATGACTGGTATTTATCAGTTGTCAGGGGTTCAAGAAGCCATGCAGTTGCTAGAGCCCATTTTGACCCACAGAGAACTAGGAGAGAAGGAATCCAGTCCAACTGAGAAGTTAGACCAGCTCTTGGTGCCAGAATGAGAATGCACCTATTGAATATAAAACCTTTTTCCGGACATTGTGGGAACTATGAAGATTTACAATTACAAAAAGTGGAAAAAAAAATGCATCCATTTGTGATATACTGAAAAGGGGCCCATCATGCCATTGTTGGGGTGTTCTTCACTAAACATTCAAGTGACCAGATCTGACAGGGAATTTGATAGCCCAAACTTGAATGTCATTTTTATCTCTATTCAGTGATCCACTCGACATAGCTTTAAGAGAATCCTCCTCTCCAACTATTTATCTTTCTTCATCTTAATACTAATGCTAGACCCCTTTCTGGTCTTCCCATTATGCTTTGGTCACATGCTAAGAGAATCCAAAGTCAGTGGCAATTGAGAAAGAAGGGAGTGGGGAAGGACTAGGGTAGAGGCAAATGGAAGGGGGCGGAAAGCTTCAATGTGGGGAAATTTTGCCACTTTTCCTTTATAATTTTCCTATGGTAGATTTTTCCTGTGATATGCAAGACTTGCCTTTTTATCTGAAGATGGATTTTTCTTCAGCTGATGCCGTTCATGTTCTTTCCAGGCATTCAGTGATATTGCCTAAAAATATTTAGTCTGATAATCAAAAGGGCCTCGACCTCTTTGATGAACAGGATGTAGATTCAGATGAGATAGTGATTTTTCACAAACGCTCCTCAGCTTCTGTATAATTATAGTTTGCTTTTGAAGGCACATTTTGTCCTCAAGTGCTATGAACGTGCTTCTGTCTCCCCCACCCCAGCCTCGCAGCCTGCCAGTGACACTCCCCATCCTTTCTGGGAGTGCAGGGTAAATATAGGCTCCCTTTCGTCTTAAGGATGGGTGATGGGAGTGAGGACCGTGGATACAAGGAGAGAGCTCGGATCAACGTCTCTCAACTCGTTTGTGTTAACAGCACACTTTTTTTTTTTTTAAATGCAGTTTTAGTTTTGGAATACTTTTATATTTACAGAGAGGTTGCAAAGATAACACCCAGAGTTCTGTATACTCCTCACCCACTTACCCCTAATGTGAACATCTTACATTACTGTGTACACCTGTCAAAACTAAGAAATCAACATTAGTATGTTATTTTTAGCTGAGCTGTAGATAATGTTTAGATTTCATGATATTTCTTCACTTATGTCCCTTTTCTGTTCCAGGATACCGCATTGTATTTAGTACAGCAAACTTGATAGTAGAATTTTGGTTGGCAGTACTGTTTAATGATGTGGTAAAGACTGAAAACAACCCTAAATAAGTCAGCAGCAATTACAAAGCCTTTATTGCCATAGTATAAAAAGCGTCTCCCAGTGTCTATAAAAACAGCCACATAAAATTATTTACCTGGTCACTGTTGGAATAGAACCAGTTGATACACTGATTGTGCTCTCACATAGACTCGTGGGACAGAGTACCCTCCGGTTCCACCCAAACATGCAACCCCTCTTTGGAATTGGATTGATATTCCCCTATTTATTTAGCAGCATAATCTGAGCAGGTGAGATCTCACCCTGAACTGAGGAGAAATGCTAACTTGATATTTCAGGATATAGAATCCATCAGAAAGACCAGGCTCCCATTCCAGCCTCACCCCACCCCCTACTGCCCCAGGACCATTCCCAGGTGGGTTTACAAGGAGCCAGATGCAAAGCAGATCCATGGTTTAGCTTCTGAAGATGCTGTACAGCTCATGTCTAGGGCCAAATGGATTTCCATTCATTTGTCCATATTTACAAAGGTACTTGGGTGTCGTTTAGTTGACTTTTGGAGACACTGGTCCAGATATTCCCAAATATCTTTTCAAAATCGGGGAATTTCCTAATCAGGGAGGTGTATAAGATTCAAACATATGTAAGATAATGAAATGTTAACAGTAACTTATATAGACAGCAATCTAAACCCCCAAAACAATGAATCTTCAAAACCTTATTAGCTTGGTACTGTTATTTTCACCTCATAAAGGTGGGGAAACTGAGGCTCAGAGAGGTTAAATGGCTTATCGAAAGTTCATACAGCTACTCAATGATGGAGGTGGGATTTAAACAGGGCCAGTCAGACCCTAAGGTCTGTGTTGTAAGCACTACACTACATGACCTCTCCTTCTGGTACAGGTGTTTGCAGAATGGGGAAGTCTTCCCCTTAGGAGTTGAAGTTGATAAAGGATATGCTAGATGAACCCAAAGATCAATTGGCAGTGTAGGAAGGAGAGCTATTTCCAAAATATACTCCAAGTATATTGTGGAGTCCTTCCTTAGGAGGAATAGTAACTAACATTTATTGAGCACTTGCTACGTGCCAGGCATTGTGTTAAAACTTTGGATGCCTTAGCTCGTTTTGTACTGAAAACAACCTTCAAACAGCCTAGCTCAACCCTGCCTCAGGATCTTTGCACTTGCGGTGCTTCCCGCCTACAGAACCCGGCTCCCAGGCTTCCACCCTTTTACATCTTACCCCCAAAGCTGCCTCATTGGAGAGGACTTCCTTGTTTCCCTCTGGCCCCCAAGTCACCTACTGTTCCCCATTTCCCCATTATTTTCTTTGTAACTTTTCTTCCCTCTGGAATTGTCTTCCTCATTATTTATGCCTACAA